CAACATATTTTAGATAAAAATAGAATTTTCCGAACAGTTTTACTACTGATGGAGTGATGAGGTAACAAACAGAAAAATACAACCAAAAATGAGGCGACTTTTTGAAGGCCAATTTGAAAACTTGTACTTAGTTCCGCTGTTTTTATTAAGTATAAAATATTGTTTATTATTTATAGGGCCGGTACCGATATGTTGTTTTTTTTTTTTTATAGAATTATGATAATATTTCGAAACCGGTCGCATTTGTACATAATGAAAACATATTTTGTACTAAGTACATATTACCGAGTATTACATAATATCGGGTACATACATATGTTTGCCGTGTTTTTTTTTTAATGGGTGGTAATGGATCGTCGTCGTCTATGACATTGTCCCTATCATCCTTGGCATGATAGGGATGAGGATGAGGGATGATAGGTGACAATGAAAGCAGCTCAGTTAGCTCATCATGAGAAATTCCACTACAATTAACCACGATGGTTTTTTTTATACCACTGAGGTGGCAAACAAGCATACGGCCCACCTGATGGTAAGTGGTAACCATCAGTGGTGATGGTGGTGACGTAGCCAATACCAGAGGTATTGCAAGTGTTCATAGGCTACGTCATAGGTCGCGCGCGTTGCCGAACTCTGAAGAAACCTCTTTACCCCCCCCCCCCCTTTGAAGAACCTCATGCTGTAGTCTCTTGGGATAACCTCGGCAGGGAGCTCATTCCATAACGTGAGTGTTCGGGGGAATCGCGTGGACGTCGACCTAATAGGTGTGTTGCTGGCAATGGGGCATTTAGACCACATTACTAACAATCCCTTTCCTCCCATATATTTGTCGTGTTGCCCAGCATAAAATAGGCTACTCTTTCCCTTCTCGTGTGTGTCGTAAGAGGCGAATAAGGTAGGGAGAAGGATGGGCAGCAGCGACCCTAAGCCTAGGGGGGAAAGGGATTGTTAGTAATGGAGACTGAGAATCCCATTGCTGGCTATATACCTAACCAGGTCGACCTCCTCGCGGTTCCCCCTGGAAACAATCATGGTTAATTCCTGATGACTTCATCATGATGGGCTAACTGGCCTGTTTATTCTCATCTATCACCCTTCACTGGTGCTCCGCCAGCGTATCCCGTTAGCGCAGGCGGGGCTACCGTACCATTTTCACCCATCAATAAAAAAAAAGACCCTAAGCATAACTGCGGTTGTCAATCCGCCTGCCAAGCGTGGCAATTACTGGCAAAATCCCCCCAAGGGGAGGCTTCTGTTCAGCAGTGGATAGTTAATATTGTATATATGATGATGGCATATTATTTTTAAAAATTTTATATTCATATACTAGCGATTCGACCCGGCTTCGCATGAATATACAGAATTTTCGAAAATCGATACATATAATAAAAAAAAAGTATCAGCCAATACAACTGATCGGTTATTTTATATCATTTTATAAATGATTCTTTTGATTGATATAACTTTTTTATTTATGAACCAATTGAAATAAAACAAACACTAAATGTTAAGTGGAGCAAACCGCAATGTATTAGTGAAAACCGCATACAAATCAGTTAAGCTGTTTCTGAGATTAGCGTGCACAAACGTACAGACATACAGACAAACAGATAAAAATTTTAAAAATCATTGGTTTAGGTTCTATTGTGTTCATAAAGCCTCTCTATAATAGTTTTTTTTATATATCTTTTTTTTTATACAACTTAGAATGGCAAACAAGCTGACGGTCCACCTGATGGAAAGTGGATCGCCTATAGAAGCAGTACCATGGACATAGTACACGTCGCCTATATGCGTTGACATGTTATTCCTTTATACCGTGTAAATTTACGTTCGTGTTTCTGAGATTAACGTGAACAAACATACAGACAAACAGATAAAAATTCTAAAAATCATTGGTTTGGTTTCTTTTGTGTTCATAAAGCCTATCTATAATAGTTTTTCTTATATATCATCCATGTACAGACAGCGACCAGTTACGTGTTTTATTATACGTATTGATAATTTATTTAATAAAGTACCAAGTATCAAGAAGTCGCAATAAACAAATAATAATAAACCTACTTTCCTAATGAACACGACATAGATAGGTACGTACTTGTATGTATATACAATCGAAATTTATTTCCATTTTTTTTTCTCGCCGATTGTATAGAGTAGGAAGTACTAGTAAATTAGCCGCTTATCACGAATAATTTTTTTTTAATGTTGGACTAAAATCATGTGCCTAAGCACCAGTAAATCGTACAATTTAACATTATTATTAATTTTTCGCTTTATTGATCTGTGTCATTATCAATATACTAGCCGTTTCCCGCGGCGTCGCCCGCTTCTAACTTTTTTTTTTATACAGTTTAGAATGGCAAACAAGCTGACGGCCCACCTGATGGAAAGTTGTAACCGTCGCCTATAGACATGAGCAGTACCATGGACGTAACAGAGTATACTGTTTCGTCCATGATACCCCCCATGCGTTGCCATTCCTGAGGACTGAGGTGTTCTTCCTCTGTACCCTGTAAATTCACGCCATATCCCACCCTTCAAACCGAAACACAGCCATGCAAACACAACTGCTTCACGGTTGAAACACGAATGGGACAAAGATACCCAAGCAGTCAACTTTTGTACAAAGTCTCCCTTTGGTAAAACTATGCACTTCCCGTACATTCCAATTGGAACTCTCCATGAATCCGGTCTTGTATTGTAATATATATTTAAATGATAATAACGTACCTAATACCTTTATAAAGGGGGAAAAGGGATTGTTAGTAATGGAGACTAAGAATCCCATTGCTAGCAATATACCCAACCAGGTCGACCTCCTCGCGGTTCTCCCTGGAAACTATCATGGTTAATTCCTGTTGATAAATTCATCATGATGGGCTAACTGGCCTGTTTTCATTCTCATCTATCACCCTTCACTGGTGCTCCGCCAGCGTATCCCATTAGCGCAGGCGGGGTTACCATACCATTTTCACCCATCAAAAAAAAAAAAAAAAAATATATATATACTAAGTTCATATAATATAATCAAGTACAGTGAGTCTAGTTAAAGTTCTTCTATGATTCGTGTATTGTAATATTTTTAATTGGAAAAATACTGATCGGATATCTTATTAATTAAGTACCCCAATCTAATATTTTATTAATGATAATCAATTTAATTTTAGCCGAGAATGAACTAATATACCTAATACTTATATGAAAATAGCATCAGCCATTAAATTGCGTCATATTATAACAGTATAGGAATTTTCAACCGACTTTAAAAAGAAGCAGGTTCTCGTGTCAGTTATATTCATGTTTTATGTTTCGCCTTACAATTACGTCAGTTGTAAATCGATTTAGCGATTTTTTTTATATATAGATAGATACTCTTTACTGTGTTACCTCCAAAAGATTACAATAGTAAACTTATTATAAATATAAACAATTACAAGAAATAATCACAATGAGAAAACAATGGGCGACCTTATCGCTAAGAGCGATCTCTTCCAGGCAACCTTTTTATCTGAAAGGATATACTTATAGATTTTTTAAAACGGATCAATAGGTTAGTTTTTAAATCAAAATAACTTTTTTTAGGAATACAATCTTTTTTTTTTTTAGTTAAGATAGTGACCAGTGGGGTTTACTTTTGAAATAAATTTCAATAAATCGATATTAAAATTGAGACATTTAGCACTCTCAAATTGCAACACTAGCGTCATAATGGTCCCATATTGTTCCAATAAATGCATTTTTTTTTTTATTAATATGTTTTACGGCTCTGGATCCAATAAATGTATATTAGTGTAACTTGCCATTGCGAACTATTGTAAACCGATCCCAACCTATAACCTAATTCCTAACTGTTGTTTCATGAGTGCAGTAAAAAATTATCATTGGAAATAGATTGGATTGATATTGACCCTAGATTCAAGAGTAGACTTACTGATATTGCCATTCGCTACTACTCTATCCTTGCTAGATCAAATCCCTCACAAATCAAATTCTAATCGTCTTTATTCAAATAAGTCTATTTCTGTTTACAAGCACTTTTAAATCGTAGTTTTTTTTTTTTATTAAATCTATTGCAGCATCTAGATGGAATGTACAAAACTTAAATTAAGTTTTATTAAAATCCATCTGTGTCCCGCGACTTTGCCCGCGTAATAAACGTGTCCTATGCACTAGATAAGGATATAATCTACCCGTTTGCTAAATTTCATTCAAATCCATTCAGTCATTTAAAAGTGATTGAGTAACAAACATACAGAACTCTGGGAAAACGGAATGTTAGTAATGGAGACTGAGAATCCTTTTACTAGCAATATACCCAACCAGGTCGACCTCCTCGCGGTTCTCCCTGGAAACTATCATGATTAATTCCTGATGAATTCATCATGATGGGCTAACTGGCCTGTTTTCATCCTCATCGATCACCCTTCACTGGTGCCCCGCCAGCGTATCCCATTAGCGCAGGCGGGGTTACCACTCCGTTTTCCCAATAGAGGGCAAATCAACGTTTGCAGGTTTATTTATATTTTTTATATTCTTAATACTATAACTTCAAACAGTATAAAAAAGTAATGCATCGGCTAATTGTTAACTGACTTGCTAATTTTTAGAATGTTTTTTCTTGATGTATTTATTATAATTTAAAACTGCGAGAATACCACTTAAATCGACTTTAATGCTCATATCTGTAATCCGGGGTGTAGGGTAGTCAGAGAAATTCAACGGTTGCCATTGGTTAACGTAGTGCTTAACTTGCCAACGTGTTCATGAAAACACCAATCGTATTATATTGTTAACTTTAAACACAAAAAATATATAATTTAAATTTAGAATTAGTGTCCAAAAGCGCGGCAAACCGTTTTGTTTGTTTAATTGGCAAAGAAATCTCATACATCATTGTTTTCCCGCTTTGTATTTAAATTTGAATAAAGAACTCACTACCATCGCCACATTTAATTCGACAATTTTTCTTGAGTTTAAAATTAAGTAGAGTGACTTACCACTGACATATATGCCTCCTTTCTCATCTGTGTTTCACTGAAGATAAAGCATGTGCACAACACAAAAATTAAGACTATAAAGGCCATTTCGAATTCATTCAACGACGTTCTGCTCCTGACCGCGTGCAGATCGATGCGCGTTCGGAATACACAGCGCGCGCGTCTTGCGTGCGGTTTTATTTCATGCGAGTTACATTTATCGTCTAACATTAATGTACGTATATGACGTCTGTTCTGATATTGTGAACTCAGCCTTATTGTTCGATTCGAGAATTATTCTCTTTTTAAAAAAACCGGTAGACGTTGTGTTGGGGCCCTTAGCATTCCGTTACAGGCGAAGTGCGTGTCGGTGTAATATCTGTGTTGGAATTTAATAACGTAGTCATACGGTTTAAAATTGTTCTTTAGGTCTTTACGTTATATTGTCGAAACAAAGTATAGTGCATATTGAAAATGAATTTATTGCATACACATCGGGGCAATCCCGCCACATATTCCCGCTATAGTGTTTCCTGTATATTCACAAGAATTCGCATCGATCTATCACAATTGTCAATGACTAGTAAAAAGCCTATATACTTTTTCAATAGAATTTAATGATAAGATAACAAAAATTTGTTTGCTAAATACTCTCTAAATAGAATTAGTAACGAAACGATCAATCTATTGATGTATTTTTTTATTTTTATTTTTACTGCCACTGTTGGACATTAGAACATTATCTTATTTCTAATGGGGTTAATTATTAATTTGTTTACATTGATATATATTGAAATATATATATATATATATATATATATATATATATATATATATATATATATATATATATATACAATATATATATATATATATATACAATATATATATATATATATATACAATATATATATATATATATATACAATAATTCAATAGGGTGAGACGATATTCATGTGTGTGATTATATAAAGCCCAAGTCAACATATGGAAAATGTTCTATCGCCACAGTATCTTCCGTTAGACCGCATTCAGATCGGGCGGCTCGAATTATCGATAGTCATTGTCAATGACCAGTAAAAAGCGCAGAGATGTTATCTATGTGCATCTTCTAGAATTTAATGATGAGAATTGTTCGGATTGAAAATTTGTTTGATTTTCACCAATACGCCACAAATAAAGTTTCATCCCAATCATCTGGACGATCAATCTTATTGTGTATTTTTTTATTTTTATTTTTTACTGCCAGCTGTATTTGGACATTAGAACATTATCTTATTTTTAATGGGCAGCAATTATTAATTTGTTTACATTGATATATATTGATATATATATATATATATATATATATATATATATATATATATATATATATATATAGATTTGGAAAATCTTTTTTTTATCTGAAAGGATATACTTGCAGATTGGTTCCATATATATTTTATTAAAATCGATTCAGTAATTTATTTCTTAAACTGAAATAACTAGTTTTGTCACAATTGAAGTCGGTTTTTTATAATTGGACACAATCTTTTTTTTTATACAACTTAGAATGGCAAACAAGCTAACGGCCCACCTGATGGAAAGTGGTAACCGTCGCATACAGACATGAGCAGTACCATGGACAAACCTGAGTATACTGTTTCGCCCATGATACCCCCCTTCCGTTGCCATTCGTGAGGTCTCAGGTGTTATTTCTCTGTTCCCTGTAAATTCACGCCATATCCCACCGTTCAAACCGAAACACAGCCATGCAAACACAACTGCTTTACGGTTGAAACACGAATGGTACAGAGGTACCCAAACAAATGACTTTTGTACAGTCTCCCTCTGGTAATCTTTAATTATTAATAACTCGTCAACCTTATAAGGTTGACCTCCATGTGGTTCCCCCTGGAAACCATCGTGAACAATTCTTGTTGAATTCGTCACGATGGGCTAACTGACCTACTTCATCCTCACCTATCATCCCTCACTGGTGCCCCGCCGGTGTATACCGATAGCGCGGGAGATACAATTGTTACCTATTTTTTTTTTTCCATATAAACATGTGGTAGATTGTTTACTAACTAAATTAGATGGCTGATGATGATGATGATGAATGAATTAAATCCGATAAGATCTAATATGTTTATGATTTTTTTTATACATTATTATGATGTATGTTTACATTACATTGATATTTTGATTTATATATATCCTTAAATATTGTAGGTATTTGTTAATGTATATATAAATCGACCGCTGTCAGCATGTCTACTTAGCATTCGAAAAGTTAAACATATTTTGGACTAAGTGCAAATTGTAATGGGGCTTAAAAATAAGTCTTATATTTTTAAATTACACAGTCAGGACTTAACGCGGTGAAAAGGATTCTACAGTTTTCTTTCAGCGTCTCAAAGGTTGACTGTAAGAGATCCCTTTATGGGATAAGTCCGCCATTGTATATTAAATCTTTTAATGTATTCACTATGAATCATGTACAATAAAGATTTTACAATACGATACAATACATCAATATATTTTATTTTAATATCTACCGGTTTAACTAGATTGATAATTGTAATTAGATCGGGAAAGGTCCACTAGTTTCGAAATCAGTTCTTGATCATTAGTCATGGTCTTTAGCATTTTCTATCTAATTAAACGTAAGTTAAATCGATAGTTATTGAATTAAAATATGTCGGCTCTACTTACGTTTACAAAAACAAGTTTTCAATAGGAGCCCTTAATAATGAGCGCGGTTCACGACTGTGTCGCGAGCAGCAATTAATCATCAAAATAAAATCAATTTATACAAATTTATTTATTTATTATATGATAGTCAAATTACAGGGTACGAAGGCATAACACCTTAGTCTTTAAAACTGACAACGCATGAAGGACGGTCGCCGCTTACCATTCGTGTTTCAACCGTGAAGCAGTTGTGTTTGCATGGCTGTGTTTCGGTTTGAAGGGTGGGATATGGCGTGAATTTACAGGGTACAGAGGAGTAACACCTGAGTCCTCGGGAATGGCAACGCATGGGGGGTATCATGGGCGGAACAGTATACTCTGTCATGGTACTGCTCATGTCTATAGGCGACGGTTGCCACTTTCCATCAGGTGGGCCGTTAGCTTGTTTGCCATTCTAAGTAGTATTAAAAAAAAATGGGCCATAAACTTGTTTGCAATTTTAGGTTGCATTATAAAAAAAAAATTAATTATTTAAACATTATATGCTACGTAACATACAATAATGCCAGATATACTAGTATTATTATTTAATGTAGATAATTGAGATGATTCAATGATTAATAATTGTACGTCATTAATGATGATGAGTGGAATTAAAATACCAAGCGAAATTGCTTTTTGCCGATAGTTTTTACAGTGAATAAAAAAAAAAAAAAATTCTATTCAATTAGTGCAAATAGATAAATTGATATAATTATTGTATCTTCACGACAAATCGCTCACAGTGTAGATAGAGAGAAAAGAAATGTTCAATGTCGGCTAGATTAGAACCTACGACCTTTCGCATACGTCGCAGTATACCAATTAAAGCCACGATGCTATATCGTAAGAATTTACTTAAGTGGTCTCCTAATTCGAGTATTTTCGACCCCTCGTGATCGATGACAGATAATCGTTTCTAAATATATAATATTTTAATTATTTCAACAATTAATTCACATGCGTTAATTTGTGACGTAAGTTCTTCCATCTGTTCCGTCTATTAGTAATGGCTGATGGCGTTTTAAGTGTTCAATATTCAGATGCAGACAGGACTTTGTTATTTAAATCTGCGTGTCCAAGGCGGCGACGTAGTTCAAACGCATTTGACATATATAATTGGTAATTTAACATAGACTCCCCGTAAGATGATACAAAGCCATTTAAAACATATATTCTACTATTATAAGGGTAATACGAAAGTTTGTGAGGATGGATGGAAGGCCGTGTGGTCCCGGCATAGAATAGACCATGCGTTCCTTTCCCGTGGGTGTCGTATGAGGCGACTAAGAGAAGGCGAGAGATTGGCAGCAGTGTCCCACTTTAAATATCTCCAAAGCCTACCATCTGCCAAGCGTGGTAACTACTGGCAATGACAAAGGGAGAGACTTATATTTACCAATTTTAAGGACTAACTAAGGTGTTATGCCTTCGTACCCTGTAATTTGACTGTCATATAATAAATAAATAAATGTGTATAAATTGATTTTTTTTTTTTGATGATTAATTGCTGCTCGCGACACAGTCGTGAACCGCGCTCATTATTAAGAGCTCCTATTGAAAACTTGTTTTTATAAACGTAAGTAGAGCCGACATATTTTAATTCAATAACTATCGGTTTAACTTGCGTTTAATTAGATAGAAAATGCTAAAGACCATGACTAATGATCAAGAACTGATTTCGAAACTAGTGGACCTTTCTCGATCTAATTACAATTATCAATCTAGTTAAACCGGTAGATATTAAAATAAAATGTAATGTATTGTATCGTATTGTAAACTCTATCTATTTATCAGAGGGAGACTTTGTACAAAAGTCGCTTGCTTGGGTACCTCTGTCCCATTCGTGTTTCAACCGTGAAACAGTTGTGTTTGCATGGCTGTGTTTCGGTTTGAAAGGTGGGATATGGCGTGAATTTACAGGGTACAGAGAAATAACACCTGAGTCCTCAGGAATGGCAACGGAAGGGAGGTATCATGGGCGAAACAGTATACTCTGTTATGTCCATGGTACTGCTCATGTCTATAGGCGACGGTTACCACTTTCCATCAGGTGGGCCGTCAGCTTGTTTGCCATTCTAAGTTGTATAAAAAAAGGAACTTTATTGGACATAATTCATACTGAATATATTAAAAGATTTAATATACAATGGCGGACTTATCCCATAAAGGGATCTCTTAGTCCACCTTTGAGAAGCTGAATAAAAACTGAATGTACAATAGTAATAACCGTACAGCTAAAGATAATCTAAATAATACGCAGTAAAATGAATGTATAATATAATAAAAACAACTGTATGCATATATGTAAATAATAAAAGTACATAAATAATTTTGTTACAGACAATAGCAAAAGAAAGCCCAATGTCTCCCACACCCCCCGCCGCACCTGCCCCTGACACAGAACGGACGGAGCTCCTGGGGTCTCTAACAACACAGCAGCAGCAACGCACGAGTGCTAGAGTCATCAAGAAGCTGAGACTCGAGCCACCTGCAGATAGGGAGAAGAAAGGGAAACGTCCTGATGGACAGTCCGACGGTAAGTGCAACTTGAGGAACATTGTAAAGGAAGATTTTGTCGCAGTGGTGGGTACATTGCGTTGTATAAATGAGGTTAAGTTAGGGTTTTTTCAATAGATGATAATTGAATGGTAACCCCGCCTGCACTAACAGTTTACGCTGGCGGAGCAACAATAAGGGACGATAGGTGTGAATGAAAAGGCACATCAGTCAGCTCATGGTGATAAATTCACCACTCTTTGGAATCAACTTCCAGCAGTAGTATTTCCGAACCGATACATCATAACCTTCAAGAAAAGAGCATATTCCTTTTTAAAAGGCCGGCAGCACACATGCAATGCCGTTGGTGTTGTGGGTGACCAAGGGTGGCGGTAGTCACTTACCATCAGGTGAGCCGCATGCTCGTTCCGGGGTGGTGGGGAGGTCTTTTTTTTAATGGGTGATAATGAATGATAACCCCGCGCGCGCTATCGGTATACACCGGCGGGGCACTAATGAGAAATGATAGGTGAGGATGAAGCAAGTCGGTTAGCCCATCGTGACGAATTCAACAAAATTTGTTCACGATGGTTTCCAGGGGGAACCACGTGGAGGTTGACGTAATAGGGCACATTGCTAGCAATGGGGCTGTCAAACTCCATTATCTCATATCTTCATCATTCTCAGATATACAAGAATGCGATACGCCAAACAAGATCGACGACAAAGAACCTCTGAAGTTTCCAACAGTGAAACAGCGGATGCCCAAAGCTCTATGGTCTACTGACGAGAAGAACCTCTTCTTCGAAGCCCTCAACGAGTACGGAAAGGACTTCGACGCGATCACAGCGTACATATGTGCCAAGATGAAGAAAAAAGGCATGTCGGAGAATCTGAAGACGAAGACTCAAGTCAGTCACTTCTATTACCGAACGTGGCATAAGTTATCCAAGCACGTGCATTTTGATGAAAGTTAGTATATATATTTAAACTATTTATATCGTATTATTATTGTATACTAGCAACCCGCCCCGGCTTCGCGCGGGTACATATTACATCACGTCACATCAGAAACCTCTAAATTTATCAGTGTTTCTATACAATATTATGCATGTATTATACATATGAACCTTCCTCTTGAATCACTCTATCTATTAAACAAAACCGCTTCAAAATCCGTTACGTAGTTCTAAAGATTTAAGCATACATATGGACGGACAGACAGCGACAGCGACTTTGTTTTATACTATGTAGTGTATGTATGTATATGTAAAAATCGTTATAATGTAAACTATGTATTAAGAAAGATATCAATTTGTAATAGAATTTATTTAGATCTACTAAATAATAAAAAAGAAAACCATGAATTTGCATGCTATATGACTTTAGCAAGACATGTGCACCCTTATATATAATTAAAAATCATTGTATACCATGTTTTACGCAAATAAATATTTATTATTTTATTTTCCTCTTCTTAAGGGAGAAAGAAAGCGTTCCCAGCGGTGGGACGTTATAGCGTTATATTGATGATATTATAATCACTGCAACCTTGATACTAAATAGCTATCAACGTTAATAGTTTTCACTGAACCATAACCTTTGATAAAAATATTATACATTAGGTGACACAGTATTATTATATGATATTAACTATGTTATTTTGCCTTTACCATTTTAATGTAATGATTAAGCAATCTAGCCAGCTGTAATGCTTCTTCATGACCATTTCATATTTCCTGTAGTATAAATACATAGATGCAATTGTTACAAGTTTTCAATTCAATTCAATTCAATTTATTTATTGCATTCTACAATATTATTATAAAAGATGTTAGTAATTGATACAGTACATTTTAGACCCTGTCGGGCGCAGCAATTAGAAGCGAGCAGGGCGTCGATCCTTAAATTTTTATAAAGATTTTAATAATTAAATAATTCAATTTCAAAATTTCATCAATGTTATAAAATTCTTATTAAAAGACAAGTCAATTTAATGATGTTAACGATGTTTTTTTTTTGTTTCCATATTTATTTCTTTTTAATCATTGGAGTTTATGGTATTTTTCAGGGTGATAGTTTGTTTTTTTTTTAATGGACGATAATGGAATGGTAATCCTGCCTGCGTTATTGGTACACACTGGCGGAGCACCAGTGAGTGATGATAGGTGTGGATGAAGCAAGTCAGTTAGCCCATCGCGAGGAATTTAACAATAAATCAATCACGATGGTTTCCAGTGGGAACCACGTGTAGGTCGACCTGATAAGATTTACTGTTAGCAATGGGACTATTAATCCCCATTATTAACAAACCCTGTTCTCCTGGGAATAATGTGTAGGCGACAAAAAGAGTATATTTTTGGGGAGACTTAGTCCCTTTTACTAATGATTATAATGAGAAAGTTTATAAAGATATTAAGATATTTATCAGGTAACTAGTTATGTTTTAACGTCTTAGTGAATCTGAATGATGGTATATCGACGACATATAGGATATTTTTTGTCTCAATACACGTGGAAAATGCCATAGTATATTATAGTTGTCTCCCTATTTATTAAAACGTCAAACGTCTCATCTATCTAGCTCAGCTATTATAGAGTTTTGTACTTTTTATTTTGCGCTAAATTATCAATTTGAAAATGATAAAGCACGCTTGTGCACAATAGATTTATAGGTTTTTTTTTTTTTTATACAACTTAGAATAGCAAACAAGCTGACGGCTCACCTGATTGAAAGTGGTAACCGTCGCCTATAGACATGAGCAGTATCATGGACATAACAGAGTATACTGTTTCGCCCATGATACCCTCCATGCGTTGCCATTCCTGAGGACTCAGGTGTTATTCCTCTGTACCCTGTAAATTCACGCTATATATTATTAATTACAAATACTAATCATAATAACAATTTATTAACAGATGTGAAAAAAGTGGCACAAGAGTTATACGCGCTGATCAACTACGGCGAACTCCGCAAGAAGCTGGTGTCTGTGAGCGAGAAGACGTGCGCGCGGCTCGGCGAGATGGTGCGCACTGGCAGCCTCGCGCTGCGCGTTCGTGGCCGCACGCTGCGCGTGCGCACGCCCATGTGCCGCGCCCTGCGCCGCCTCAACCAGATCAACGGTCAGTTGCAGCTAGGGAAATAGGCTTACGTTCTAATATCAAATAAGAATTTAAATAAATGGTGCGCTTGTGTCTTGTAATAGCGTGAGACTCCAAACAGAAACTACAAACCTAATCACTGTATTTTGTTTAGTAAATTGTATTAAAATTACACGAGTACGAAGCCATGCGCTAAACGTGATACGGGCGAGAGTAATATCTTAGTTCATACTAAATACCTTGTGACAGACACAGATTTTCATTCGTGTTTCTACCGTGATGTAGTTGTGTAAGCATGGCTGTGTTTCGGTTTGAAGGGTGAGATATGGCAGTGACTTTACAGGGTATTGAGACTTAACACCTTAGTCCTCAGGAATGGCAACGCATGGGAGTATCGTGGGCGAAACAGTATACTCTGTTATGTCCATGGTACTGCTCATGTCTATAGGCGATGGTTATAACTTTCCATCAGGTGGGCTGTCAGCTTGTTTGCCAATTTAAGTTGCATAAAAAAATTACTTTAGCTTGCATCTCAATTAGTGATCCCTACATAAATTTTTACATCATCTTTCATACTTTTCAAACCGAACTATTCGGGCGACTAGGCAGTAGTAACACGAAATGAACCCATGAGGTACCCATGAAGATGAGTGATGTATCAAAGGAAGTTTAGAGTGAGAATGCACAGAAGCGCAACGCGTCATTGTGAGAGGTGAGGGGTACCGTGGGCACAGTACTGTTTGGCTGCAGTTATTGTTCTCGTCTATATACGATTACCATTTACCATTTCCCATCTGATCCTTCTTCGCCGTCTATGGGCTTTGGGTGTCTTAAGGGAACTTAATGTTTGAGGAATGGACAGCAGCGTCCCTCATTACTAAATCCTAACTGCAGTTGCTAAATGTGGCAATTAGTGGCAATACCTCCGTTATGAGGAAGGTGTATATTCAGCGGTTATCGGCTGGTATGATGATGATAGATAGATAGGTAGATAACCTTTATTACCAGTATTAGGAAAATAAAAAAATTAAAACAACAAAAAGAAAAAAAAAAACAATATTGCTGGTAATAGGAGTCACCTCAGCTGTTGCTATATATGCACATCTCCAGCGATATGTACCTATATAGCGCTGATTTTCAGGCGGCCCCTTAACTCCTATACCTTTAGCATGCGTCACGTCTTAGCGTTCGTCGCCAATACCTATTTCCCGGATGGGAGAACTCGACACGCTTAACAACAAACACACAAAACATTACAAAAAATACACAAGACGATCCGGTCCGCTGGATCGTTTGTTCGGTACAATGTAACGGTTGCGCGTGTCGCGTGGCGCATGCGCAGAGCGCGCGTGCGGGGCGCGCGTGTGCCCGCGCGTGGCGGCGGCGCTGCGCGCGCGCGACGCGGCGGCGTGGGCGCGCGTGCAGGCGGCCGCGCACAACCCGCGCGCCGCGCTCGCCGCGCCGCCGCGCGCGCCGCTGCACGCGCTCTTGCGCGCGCTCGCCCGCCGCTGGACGCCGCACGTATCCTTTTCTCGCTGCCTCTAATGTACACAAGTCGTTTGCTTCACTACCTCTGTCCCTCGTGTTTCAACCGTAAAGCAGTCGTGTTTTGCATGGACGTCTTTCGGTTTGAAGGGTGGGATATGGCAGTAAAATCCTAAGCTCTTAAAAAATAACTTACATGCTGAGTCTCTTATGAATATTGATTGTAAAATTTTGATTCCAAAGCTAGGTAGGCAAAGTAGAGTGGATCTATGGCAGTAAATTTACAGAGTACAGAGGGATAACACCTGAGTCCTCAGGAATAGAAGTCCTCAACGCATGGGGGATATCATGGGCGAAACAATATACTCTGTTATGTCCATGGTACTGCTCATATCTATAGGCGACGGTTACCACTTTCCATCAGGTGGGCCATCAGCTTGTTTGCCATTTTAAGTTGCATAAAAAAAAGATAAATACAATTAAAAACAAATAACAATCTATTTGATTTTAATCAACTATTCTTTCTATATAAACTTTTATATAAACTTTCTAAACAACGAATAAAACAATTAAATACCTGATATTAAAAAAATTACATAATTAGGTATATTAAAAAATTATTTGAATTTAGAATTCTAAACAAAAAGAAAGATATTCGTGTTCACACCAACCAGTATTAAAAATCAGCAATTTCATAAATAAAAAGCTGATATTATATTCTGTGCTAATATTAAATTATTTTAACCTTTTATTAGTCTTAACTCAAAAACAGTCATTTTACAAGACCACCGAAGAGATAGACCCAAAGTGCCCGGAGTACATACAAATTAAAGACGAGGAGGTTTGCTCAGAATTGCGACACACGTGCACGGACGATGACGATCGCGAGGATTTAGGGGATCATCTCAATCTGGAACTGGACAGAATGATAGTGCAAGGTAAAATATACTTTATCATTATAAATTATAAGGACCGTTTTACACCAATCATCATATACTATTGATGCTTCCTAATTCAACCCAGCACTGTTGATAAACATTGTTAACGCTTAGTGAAATTAAGGAAAAACGTTCATAAATAAGAAAATATTAACCATGGTTTTAGCTGTTTGTTTATTTATTTATAACACTTTAATGGTAGTACAATTGTTTTCTCGCATCCAAATAATAACAATGTTAAATAATAGATTGTTGTTTCTATGTTACCCTATCTCTTAAATATCTACAAACATTTTAACTATTAGTATGTTTTTTTTTTAATTTTCTTTTACATTATGAATTAAGCTCAAATTATAAAAAAAAAAAAATACTTATATTGCAGAAAAAAGGGTTTTAGATGCTTTATATTTTGAATAAGAAGGTTACTGTTTACAGAACAAAAGTTACCGAAAAAGCCAGTTTTACACGTGGGTCCGAGGCCCGACGCTGAGATCCATTTACCAGTGCTGAGTCCCAGTGAACAGCTGTCCAGCCAGAAGATTTGTTTCTCGTCATACTTGGAACGGATGTGCAAGCAGCGACGCGATAATGACGGTGATGGTGAGTGAACAACTACTTATTACCAGAGGGAGAGTTTGTACAAAAGTCGTTTAATGGGGTAGAGATCTCTCATTCGTGTTTCTGCTATGAAGCAGTTGTGTTTGCTTGTCTGTATTTCGGTTTGAAATCGGGATATGGGGATTTAGACGGTGTGGAGGTATAATACCAAAGTCCTCAGGGACTCCTTAAATGGCAACACATGATAGGTACATAGAATTATCTCTACTCTGTGAAGTCTACAATTCTTTATTAGTTCTTCCGTCAGCTAGGTCATTAGCTTGTTTGCTATTCTAAGTTACATAATAAAATATACATAGACTTCTGAGTCTTGAGTTTGACCACGCACGTCAATAGATATGTGCTGAACTTGAGCAGTAATGTATTTATAAGATAAAGAGGATGAAATAGCTTCGTCTCTGTCCTACAACCGGCAACAGATGTTTGCTTGACCGTCTACGGTGCATATTAGGGTCAACTCGGACTAGGTGGAAAAGTAGTAAATCACTTATTATATTACAGTGGAATGTCAAACTTCCTGTATTCAAATAGTGTTTAAAATAGTATGCAAGAATCTAATCTAATCTAAAAAGTGGTATTTCTTCGAACATCCTGATTGTACGATTGTATGTTGCAACCATTGATATTTTTAATTGTTTTATTTCTTATTTCTGTTATATATACTTATAAATATGTAAATTTTGTATCCTAACAGCTAAACTGAGAACGTCTAAACGACAAAGGAAAGATAGTGCCACAGATAAAGAAATAGATGTAAAGAAGATAAAAATTGAAGAGGATCCAAATAAACTAATGCATATCGATGAAACTGCTATCGACGGAATAGATCTAATGGCAAGTTATAAGAATATACAGGAAGACGAAGAGAAACCGAGCACAGAAGATGAGAAGGAACCCAAATCGGAGGAGACAGTAGAAGAAGAAGTGGAAGGTAGTGGAGAGTTGCCAGAGAAAGACAAGTATATGTCTGAGAAAGAGAAAGATAGTTTTTCTGAAATGGAAGATGATGAAAAATACAATAAAAGCGATACAGACAATGAGAGTGATCAAGGGAAGAGTGAGAAGAGTAGGAAAGAGCAGAAATTTAAAAATTTGAAGGTTAGACTTAATTCAGTTTATTTCATACTAGCGGCCCGTCCCGGCTTCGCACAGGTCGACATTTTTACATTTTAAAAAGTGGCGATTTAGGCTGCACACGCGATGGAAGCTTAAAAATGGAGTAACTTCTCCCATTTTCCCAACATTTCCCTTCACAGTTCTGCTCCTATTGATCGTAGCGTAATGAAAAGTATACTATTACCTGCCCAGCAGTATGAAGAATAATTGTACCAAGTTTCGTTAAAATCCGTCGAATAGTTTTTGTTTCTATAACGAACATACAGACAGACAGACAAAAAATTTACTAATTGCATTTTCGGCATCAGTATCGATCACTAATCACCCCCTGATAGTTATTTTGGAAATATTTTTTTAATGTACAAAATTGACCTCCCTACAGATTTATTATAATAAGTATAGATGAAAAATTATGTTACTTCTTTTATTTATTTTCCTTTTTTTTTTTTTGTATATATATTCTTTTATTTCTTTTTTTTTGCGTATGTCTCCATATCTGTTGTTGTTTGTGTGCTGAAAGTAATGCAAATAAATTGTATGTCTACCTTTTATCTATCATAGGCAGTGAGAGCGATTGTGAAACGTCATTCTTTAATTTTATTTGATATTATAGAAAAAAATCTTTTAGAGAACCAGTGTGATTAATTTATGATAGACTCGAGTCATGTTACTCTTTTATTGCGGACTTGCAAATGAAATAAAAATAATCTTCGGAAACAACAAACATTGTAAATTAAAAAAAAAAATTGCATTGTCCAATTTATATAATTTAAGTTAGTTATTTTCTTTAACTTTTTTGTGGATTCTAGCATAATATAAATACATTTTAAAATTTAATTTTTTTTTGTGTTAAATTTGTACAATTACACTTCCTTATACGATATGAATAACTATGAGAATTTATGTATAGGATTATTTTTCGTAAAAAAAAGCACATGTTCAATGTTCATATCTTTTCAAAATCTGTATTAGAAACTCTCTAAGTACACTTTTTAAAATTTTTCTATGTATTTTATAGTCGATTTTTTTTATACTACAAAGGCGGCAAATAAGCATGCAGCCCGTCTGATGGTAAACAGTCATTGTAGCCTTTAAACGCCTGCAACACTAGGGGTGTCACGTGTGTTATGTTATTTATTTAAAATTTTAATCCACAGGTAAAATTTCGAATACGACCAAAGAAGCGCGGTGGTAGCATTTACACCCTGGTGATGGATAAAGAGGACCAAGACCCAACTTCTTCAAAGGATGAAGAACAAAAACCAGATATTGACGTGGACACGGCAATACGCCAGATCAGGAAGGGCTGGAGCATGTACGACGCTGGAGATCTTACCATCGGAGACTTGTATTTAATGGTGAGGGAATGAATTAGTATATTTGCATTCATCATCATCTCGGTGATTGTCTGTCCACTGCTGAACATGTTTGAATAATAAACACGGTTAAATAATAGCTACGTATTCGAAAATGTAATGAACGTCAAGATTCCTTTGATTATTTGTCGATATTTTTCATAATTTAGAATTTGTAATTTACAGTTAAAAATGTACCTGTCTACTATCATGTTATCACTGTCTGTTATGAAGCATCAATACCTTATTCACACATATATATATTTTCAGTTCGGTTCCCGCTCAAAACTCGAACTAGACTACTGGTGGGCAGAGCCCACTCCCCCCTTGCCGCAGCCCCTACACAAATCAAAGTCTGATCCGATTCCCCCAGCGAGTGAAAAGGACAAATGTAAAGCTGAGAAAATTTCGGATAAAGGCACAGATAGCTCAGTGGAGGATGAGCGAGACAGAGCGAGGGAAAGTGACAACGATATATTCTCACCGAAGAACACATTCAGTCAGGACAGCAACGACGGCATGTCTGGTGATGAAAGGAAAAGTGAGTATCTTACTAATAAATATGATAAAACATGATCGCAACACTAGACATAAAAATATACAACAACATATGGAGGAGGGCACTAACTCCTGAAACAGGATTTTTTCAATTCTATCTCGGGAGTTAAAGACTTCACACTTTATTGTAACAATGAGTGAAATAAATATTTATATATTTAAAAATAGATACATAATTTATTTGCATTACTTACAGCACACAAATTACAATAAAAATCATACACATAATACACAGTAAAAGAGATAAAAGAATGAAAAACAACAAAAAAAAAAAGCAAAATATATAAAATAACAATTTCCTTTTTTTCATGCACGTGCCATAGTAACACAAAATGGTAACACAACTCAGTTTATTGCTTAAAATAGACTCAATTTACCATCTTTCAGAATAAGATTGTTAAATAAAAGCCTTTTAAGTTCCCTTCGGCGTCTACGACACCCACGCGAAAGGAAGGGGTGGCCCAGTTTATGCGGGGACTACGGCGACCAAGTATAAGTAAAACTAATTTCATTACTATGTATAAATAGGTGAACAGCTAGCATCACCAGACCACAAGTCATCGAGCGGATGCAGTGGCACCCTCAAGCTGGTCAGCAAGCTGATCAATCGTCCACTCCCAGCGCAAACGGCGCAAACGCAGTCCAACAATGGTTTCTCGCAACTTAGCGACAGGTGAATCTTTTCTAATGTTATAGTTTTATGTATCACGTTATTAAAATTATGATAAATTATTATTATATCGATAAAAAACAAAATCACTCGCCAATTTATAAATTTTGTTCCAAGTTATCGTTAATTACAAAATAATCAACAAAAAATACAAGTCTCGGTTCCAGCGCCCTCGAGTATTTCGTGTTCTTAATCAAAATCTTATGACTGATCGTCGTAAGATTTTGTACACATGTCGTATTTGGAATAGAGAAGGGCATGTTTACTTATTATAGCGGTCACGCGGACGAAGTCACGGGTAAAAACTATACTAGTATCTTACTTCCAACCATCTTTCAAAAAGCCCCCTACAGAAATATAACGTGGGAAATCCCCGCATTATATGGGGGAATACCCGTGTTTACCGTGTTTATACGACGGATTGAAATCGCGTAATATTAAAACGTATTATACTCGTAAGAGTACCGTGTTATAGGGAGGATTACTGTAACTGATTTTACCACAATTTTTTTGTGGAATAAAATTTTAAATTATGATTTGTATTAATTATTTTCTTTCTAACTGGCACTGGGTTGAAGTATTCGCTGTATGTTTGTGCGTGCGTGCGTGCGTGCTTGCGTGCGTGCGTACGTGCGTGCGTGTGTGCGTGCGTGCGTGCGTGTGTGCTACTTATAGGGTATTATGTTATCATTCCATCTAACAATATGAAATGTGTGACAATAGACTGAAGCGGCTGCTAGCGTTAGCTGGCAACTCGCTGGTGAGTGCGGCGACGGCGGCGCCAGGAAGCGGCGCATCGGCTGCGTGCGGCGCTCGATGCACTTGTGCTCTCGGCTGTGCGTTGCACCGGCGGCAGGTTAGTATTCCTTTTTTTTTTGAAGACTATATGGAATTCTTTAAAGAGTATCAAGGATTATTCAGCGTCGGTAACACTTACTTGTTTAAATGTAATAACTAACGGTTTAACTTTAGTGTAATTAGATCGAGAAGGCCCAACTAGTTTCGGGATCAATTCGTGATCCTTAATCATGAGCAGCTGTGATGCGATCACGAGCCTGACTGTGTGCCATAGAATATTACATTAAAATATGCTTACAAAACTTCTAACAATAGTAATAGTATTGCAGCCGTTCATAGGCTACAGTGACCGTTCACCATCAGACAGGCTATATACTTATTTGCTCCCTTCATGGGAGCATGGGATATCACGTGCGCGTTGCCGACACTAAAGATTTTTTTTTATACCACAAAGGTAGCAGATAAGCATACAGCTCGTCTGATGGTAAACGGCAATTTAGCCTATGGACGCTTGCAACACCAGGGTTGTCATGTGCGCGTTGCCGACGCTAAAGAAACCTTAATATACCCTTTTTGAAGCATCCCGTACTATAGTCTCTAGGGAAAACCTCAGCAGGGAGTTCATTCCACAGTTTGAGCATTCATTAAGCCTGAGAATACTCTATATTCTTTTTTTACATACCACTGATGTGGCAAACAAGTGTACAACCCACCTAATAGTAAGCGGTTACCGTAGCCTATGAACGCCTGCAATACCAAGGGTGTGAAGCAGTTGTGCTTGCATGGCTGTGTTTCGATTTGAAGGGAAGGGATATAGCGTGAATTTACTGGGTACAGAGGAATAACACCCGAGTCCTCGGGAATGGCAACGCATGGGGAGTATCATGGGCGAAACAGTATACTCTGTTATGTCCATGGTACTGCTCATTACTGCTCATGTCTATAGGCGACGGTTACCACTTTCCATCAGGTGGGCCGTCAGTTTGTTTGCCATTCTAAGTTGTATAAAAAAAAAAGTATTACGCGTTCGTTGCCGTCTCTGAAGATTCTCTCTTTGAAGAACCCCATAACGTAGTCTGTAGGGAAAAGCATGACAGAGAGTTCATTTCACATCCGCCCGTAATTGGAAGCGTTTCTAGATATTAATTGGTCATTAACAAATTGGGTCATATGCTTATTTGCCATTTGCTATAAAAGAAAATGTCATTTCAGAAGCAACAACCGTGGCCACCATCTTCTCGTCTGGAAGAAACCAGTCCCAGCTCTGCCGTATTCAGGCATCCGACACCAATAGCGCCTAGAGCGGATAAGGAGGTAATATCTTGCGGGTTCGTCAGCGTGAATCAATAATAAAGTTAGGATAAAACCTGTCATTGTACCAAATTTCAGTCCTTTCAATTGGTACATCGTGACAAATTCAACAGGGATTAAACACGATGGTTTCTTGATGTGATCGCAAGGAGGTAACCTGACAACAGAGCCGCGAGACTGTATTACTTCAACCCAAAGGGAAGGGGGTTTTTAATGGGTGATAATGGAATGGTAATCCCACCCGTGCTATCGGTATACACCGGCGGGGCACCAGTGATGGATGATAGGTGAGGATGAAGTAGGTCAGTTAGCCCATCGTGACGAATTCAATAAGAATTGTTCATGATGGTTTCCAGGGAGAACCACGTGGAGGTCAACCTAATAGGGTATGTTGCTAGCAATGGGGCTGTCAAACTCCATTGCTAACAACCCTATTCCCTCCAAGGCTCTTCCCTTGGGGGGAAGCTAGTAATAAAGTTTTTTTTTATTGGATAATAATGGGGTGGTAACCTCAGCTGCTCTATCGGTATACGCTGACAAGGCAACAGTTTAGGAGTGATAAAATAAATAAAGATGAAATCGAATCAGTTGGCCCATTGTGACAAATTTAACAAAATAATCAAGATGATTTCCAGAAGAAATGCGTAGATTCCGTTATGGGATTACTACTTCCCGTTATTTCCTTTTATGTAATATATGTGAAACCCATCTTGTACCAGATGTCGATGTCCTCACTGAACCTGGAGGGTGTGCCGCGCTGGAGACGAGGTCGACCGCGGCTTGCTGACCGCCGCGTGGTTGTGCAACGACTACTGCCACTGCTGCCCAAGTTACCACCGCCCAGCAGTTAGTATCATCTTTCGATTTTCCATTAATGATCATAAGATACCACCCTACCCTTCTTATCAACCCCTGAGGCCGTAAACGCCGTAAGTACCTCAAGGATATTAGGGTCAGATATGAATTATGAAAGGGTATTTTTGTTATAATGAATATAAAAAAAAATGGTAACCCTTCTTGTGCTGTTAGTACACGCTGGTGAAGGACCAGTAAGAGATGATATGTGAGGATGAAAGTAGGTCAGTTGGTGATGATTTTAACAAGAATTACCATAATGGTTCAAGGGGAACCGTGTGAAGGTTAACCTGATAGGTTATATTTATATTATATTTATTAATTTAGTATTGTCTAATTTTGTGTTTCGTTTACTTGTATTTTACTTTGTGCAAATTCTAGTGGCTACCAAATTGCTATTTAAGTATATAATTATGTATTATTTTAGCTGTTTGTTTGTTAGCTTAAATAAAGAAATAAAAATATTGCTAGCGATAGGGCTCTTACACCTCATTAATATATATATATATATATATATATATATATATATATATATATATATATATATATATATATATATATATATATATATATATATATATATATATATATATAGTAATGAGTATATATATGTAATAAATTGTAGTAGCAAAAGTAGTTAGTTTAGTATTAATATGGTTTACAGTAAAGGCCTTTTGTCTATAGTTAAAAGGTAAAATCCGCAAATCTATATCATTGTTTTTCTTTTTTTAGACTTGATACCAGTAAAAATAGTGCCAAACTCACCACCGGCGCCACCTCGTATACTACCGAAGCCACCACCAACTTCCACGTCTGAGTAAGTTATGTCTAACACAGATATATTGCTGAAAATAAATAGATCCATTCAGATAAGTCACTCTCTAAATGTATTACTTGAATTGTGGATAACTTAAAAAAATATTTTTCTTAATTTATCTATAGGATAGGATATAGATGTATAGGGCAGGATCTGTGAGTATTTCACCTTATTCTTAAATATAAATCACTAAATTTAGATATTTTTAGAAATTTCATTTTAGATTCTAAAATTCTCTAAAGATTCAAAAATGATCTTACTCTAAATATCGTTAAGTTTATCATTAAAGTTAAAATATTTTAGGAATTTAGACAATGGCATACCAAAATTCAATTGTAGGATTACATACCATACTACATCCATACCTGTCACGCCTGTCTCCCACAAGGGTAGGCAGAAATAATGGAACGCCAAATTTTTTTTTAATACAACATAGAATGGCAAACAAGCTGACGGTCCACCTGATGGAAAGTGGTAACCGTCGCCTATAGACATGAGCAGTACCATGGACATAACAGAGTATACGGTTTCGCCCATGATACCACCCATACGTTGCCATTCCTGAGGACTCAGGTGTTATTCCTCTGTACCCTGTAAATTCACGCTAGTAAATATACCATACTGTTACTATAATTTTCCAACTTTATAACTAAAATTGGATAAATTAATTTTAGATATTGAATATATGTTGTATGTTATATATATATATATATATATATATATATATATATATATATATATATATATATATATATATATATATTGACTCTAAATTGTATAACTTTATTAATCTAAATGTGACAATACAGGTCGGTTCAAAACTAATTTGTCAGAGTTATTTCTGACATACTTTTAAATATCATACGCTAATTCGTATCTCTAGATTCAGAGATAGGTAATAAAAGAAACTTGTCGTTCAATAAATAGATTATTATATTCTTTATTGCACTTGTAAATTACATTGTTAATGCATTTATAAATGTTGTGAGCAAGAATGGACTTATCTCTGACAGAGATCTCTTCCAGTCAACCCAATGCAGTTAGAAAACATGTTGTTAGCGGGCAGCTGAAGTGCTACAACTATTAATATTTAGTGTACATAAACAAATATACAGTTAAATAAAATATTAAGATACATAATAAAATATTACATAAATACATATACTATGAATAAATATAATACCTACCTACTTATACAGTAGATGTTAAAATAAATGAATATACTACCTACAATAGAAATAGGTTTATAAAATTAAAGAATTTCATTATATTCAATCTCATCCACAGTTTGTCATTCTTTTACGTGCTGAGCGAGTCGAATGGTCAATTCTACTTCCACGACGGTGACCGTCGCATACCCATTACGCCGATGCAGGGGAACGGCGCTGATCAACACGCGGACGATGGTAAGGGACATATACTGTACTAGCTTTTACCTGCAACTTTGTACGAACGGATATTAAACCAATGAAATAGGCCAGTATTATCAGGGGGCCTACCATGAAATGAAATTCCGAATTTTCGTGCTCAATTTCGCGTTTTTGCTCGTACCGATATCAGTAATGTAACACGAAACAGTAAATGGAGCTTAACGTTTCGTTCATCATAAATCCTATCCTAATAGTCCAGAAGTACGATATTTTAATAGTTTTTAATAATTTTAAACGGCATGTATTATGTAATTTTAACATCAAATTTCTATTTGGTTCGTCCCCGAAATTTCGGAAAATATTTCAGGTGTATCAAATTAAAACATAACAGATTTTAAATTCAAGAATGCAGTTTTGAAAACTACACCCATTTTGGAGGAACTTAATTTTGAATGAATAATAACAAAAAATTCTATACAATCTAGGGCAGCGATTCCTAAAGTGGGTTCCGTAATAAAGTCACCAAGGTTCCTCGAAATTATTTATACAGTGAAACATTTTCATTCTTCATATTAGAAGTTAAAATAAACTATAAACTGCTATACTTTTAAAATATTTCTAAAAAAGCATCTATTCTTGTTTCAATTACAGTGTTTTTGATTTATAATCATTTGATATGGGGTTCCATAAAATAAAAGGTATTTGTTGGGCGTTCCGTTATCTTAAAAGTTTAGGAATTCCTGATTTAGGATACCCTGTTTATAAAGAACCAACAACCATCCGGGACTACCACTCAACACACCGAATCCTGAAACCTTCCAGAAAAGCTTGCTTTCTAAATTGGTCCAAAAATCCAAAAAAATCTGACTGTAAATCGATCTATGGGGTCCCGCCTCATTTAACCTAAACAATATGTTTATTACAGCACCTCTGTCAGTGGATACCCTTAGAATCTCTTTACTCTTTCCCTCAAAGAAATATAATTAACTAGCGACCCGCCCCGGTTTCGCATGGATGCACATTACATTACATAACATTAGAAACCTGTAAAATTATCAGTGTTCCTCTACTATGTATTATGCATGTATTATACATATAAACCTTTCTCTTGAATCACTCGATCAATTAAAAGAAACTGTATCAAAATCTGTTGCGTAGTTTTAAAGATCTAAGTATACATAGGGACAGACAGACGGCAAGCGACTTTGTTTTATACTATGTAATGATGATATAATTAAATTTTTTAACTAACTTTAAAAAAGGAGGAGGTTACATATTCTATTGTATATTTTTTGGTAATGCGCTGTTTTCTTGTTCACTTCAAATCCAACATTTTTTTATTTTATTTCAGATGAAGATACGAAAGATGAACCGGATTCGAAGGACAGCAAAACGGACCTAACTATAGAGAAGCATCCGGTGTTGTCACCCAAGGAGTCCTCTAAGGACAGTGGCGAGCCTCCAGTCACGGCCAAGTGTGAGAGCTCTGATTTAGGACGTGAGTTGAATTATCAATTCTATCAATACCAGCAAAAACTCGTAATTTAATGGTCCTTTCCGCAACTGCACTGTCCCGGGGGAAAGGGGTTGTTATAAATGGGGTTTAGTAACCCTATTACTAGCAATATACTCTATCAGGGCGACCACCTCGCGGTTCCCCCTGGAAAACATTGTGATTGATTCATTGGTGAATTTGTCACGATGGACTAACTGACCTGCGTCATCCTCATCTATCATCCCTCACGGGTGCACCGCGAGTGTATACCGATAGCGCTGGCGGGATCACTATTACATTATCATCCATCAAAAATAACTGCACTTTCCATCAGGTGGGCCGTCAGCTTGTTTGACATTCTTAGTTGTATAAAACTAAGATTATATATGTAAAAAATACTTTGACATTTATAATATTAGTAAGGATTATTTCCCGGGGGTGAGGGAGGGGGGTTGACACCTTAAAAAGCTTGATTATGTACTCTCAGATATCTGCGCATAGCATAGTGAGAATGTCAAACAAGCTGACGGCCCACCTGATGGAAAGTGGTAAGCGTCACCTATAGACATGAACAGTACCATGGACATAACAGAGTATACTGTTTCGCCCTTGATACCCCCCATGCGTTGCCACTCCTGAGGAATAAGGTTTTATGCCTCTGTACCCTTTAATTTTACAGCTCTACAGAGATCTCTTATAGTTAACCTTTGAAAAGCTGAAAGAAAACTATAGAATGTTCGAGAGTAAAAACTGTACAGCTAAATTTAAGACTAAATAATGCCTAGATGAAATTAAACATATATTACAATAAGAAATAACAGTAACACATAAATAAAAATAATAAACCTACACACATACACACACACACGCGCACGCACGCACACAAACACGTACACACACACACACACACACACACACACACACACACACACACGCACGCACGCACCAGCGCGGGCGCGCCTGAGTGTACTATATATATATAGCAAAGCAATAACTGCTCTATCTAATATGTATATAAACAGCTTTAAAGTTTTTAATTTTGTCTCTAGAATTCTTGCCATCGGAGTCCCTGTCGCTGTCTCCCTCCAGACTACTCCGTGACGCGGACGGCTGGCTCGAAGGTTCCGTACAAGATTTCTCCCTTAGCAGTTTCCTTGGACATTTAGAGGGAAGACCACAGCCTGATCTTGCTGTAAGTAATGCTTTTCATTAATATATATTTGATTTGAATTATTTTGTTTAATTCCGCTACTATTAGTATATGTCTGACTGCCAATACTCGAAGACTGAATACCATTTTTTTTTTGGTGGATGAAAATGGTATAGTAACCCCGCCTGCGCTAACGGGATACGCTGGCGGAGCACCAGTGAAGGGTGATAGATGAGAATGGAAACAGGCCAGTTTAGCCCATCATAATAAATTAATCAGGAATTAACCATGATAGTTTCCAGGGAGAACCGCGAGGAGGTCGACCTGGTTGGGTATATTGCTAGCAATGGGATTTTTAGTCTCCATTTCTAACAATCCCTTTCCCCCACTGACCACCACTATTACTACCAGAAGTTCCACAACCCTCCCAATCTCTTCTATGCAAGAACCACACGACCAATTATTAAGTTTTCTTAAATAAAAAATATTTATTTGTTATTATGAATAATATGCTTTTAAATAAAAAAGAAATTACCTTCAGGTGGACTCCCAGTTGCAGTCATTAATGGCAGAATCGAGCGTGGACTACGTGGCCAAGTTTGCGGACCTAGCGGCCGAAGTCACCGATGATCCGATCACGTCTGATGATATGACGTAAATCATATATATATATATATATATATATATATATATATATATATATATATATATATATATATATATATACACACACACACACACACACACACACACACACACACACACACACACACACACACACACACACACACACACATATGTGTGTGTGTGTGTGTGCGTGTGTGTGTGTGTGTGTGTGTACTAGCAATCCGTACAGCTTCGCGCGCGTTGATAGTTTTCAAAAATAATATATATAGCTTATGTCAGTGTTTTTCAGTACGGGTCGCGACCCCTTTAGGGGGTCCCCGAGCCTCTACAAGGGGGTTGCGGAAGGTCGCGAGGCAGTGAAAAATCAACAGTTCCGTAAAAACATCAATCAGTCAATAATACATAATGAAATATCTATAATAGACATGGATTACATGTCTGTTTTAGATACTTTATTATGTATTATTTATTTCATTTTATCGATACCTAACTGCGAATATAAATACAACTGTACGGATTTTATAATTGTACTATAACAAAATTCATACACATTCGAAACCGTGTAGGGTAGGGGGTAGCAAGATATTTTTACATATTAAGGGAGTCGCAAGATATTTTTACATAATAAGGGGGTCGCGTCATGAAAAAGATTGAAAAACACTGGCCTATGTTATTGACTGATAATGTAGCTTTGTATAAGTGAAAGATTTTTTTTAATTGGTTGAAGAATTTATAAGTTTATTCATTACATACACAAACAGTCAAATCTTTCCTTCTTTGTTATGTTAGTATGAACAAGATTATGTTATATACATATTTTATATAAGACCATTGTCGTATTTTATTTGCAGTTTACATTAAAAACGTGTTAAATAAAATCATGTGTATTATTTATTTATTTATTTATTACACTTGTTTTTACCAAGTAAAAAAATAATATAATGACAGTAAATATTAATGAGAAGTGATACAAGAGACGGCCTTATCGCTAAGTAATCTCTTCCAGACAACCTTTGGGTAGAGGACATTGAGAAAAAGACAAAGGGTAGGTGGCGCTCTATTATATAAATACTAATATGAATATGTGGTAATGATTTCTGTACCAAATCTTATTCAAATTCAGACATTCGTTTATATGTGATTGAATTAACAAACATACAGACAGCGGTACTCAATAAAATTGAATCATGTATTTTATGGAAGCATTTGGCGTTCCATTATTTCGGCCTACCCTAATGGGAGACAGGCGTGACAGATATGTATGTATGTACGTATTTTATGGAATAAAAAACGGAATGGTAAACAAGCCAACACTATCGGTATACGCTGGCGAGATGCTGAGTAATGATAAGTGAGGATGAAGTCAAGTCATCTAGCCCAATATGATGAATTTACCAAGACTTATAGTATTATTGTATTTTAATGAAAATGGAAATAAAAAAATAATGAATCCAACCTTACGAAAAACAAATAAATAATTGAAAAGTTTCGATTTGTTATTAATTTCATTTAGTGCGTTTTTCTATGAAAATTTCAACAGTACTTCATTAACTTTTCATAAAGATGTATTGAAATTATAATCATTGTCGATGATCCCAAGTTCACAAGCGGTATCGAATCCTTAAGTCTTAGGAGAGATTTTACCGCACTCTGCGTGCTCTACTGCCTTTACAATGGATTGTGCTCAGAGTAATTGTTCAATATGATGCCTCGCCTTCGACAGGGAGTTCATCCTCATGTCCTACAGCCTCAATGGTCGCGTACTGTGCGGTTTCAGAGATGTTTCCTCCCACGAACACTCAGGTTGTGGAATGAGCTCCCTGCCGAGGTTTTCCCAAGAGACTACAGCATGGGGTTCTTCAAAAGGGGGGTAAAGAGGTTTCTTCAGGGTCGGCAACGCACCTGCAATACCTCTGGTATTGCTGGTGTTCATAGGCTACGGTAACCACTTACCATCAGGTGGGCCGTATGCTTGTTTGCCACCTCAGTGGTATAAAAAGAAATCACGATGGTTTTCAGGTGATTCTAACCTATTGTAATGTGAATGAATGAATGAACAGAATTGTATTACGGTATTCTTGTATTGAAATTTGTGATTTGGATTAAAGATAGTTTTTATACCGTTTTTCTCTTTACGACATGTGACCACGCCATTCTGAGTGTATACAGAGATAATATAATTCATGAGGGGGAAAGGGATTGTTAGTAATGGAGACTGAGAATCCCATTGCTAGCAATATACCCAACCAGATCGACCTCCTCGCAATTCTCCCTGGAAACTATCATGGTTAATTCTTGATGAATTCATCATGATGGGCTAACTGGCCTGTTTTCATTCTCATCTATCACCCTTCACTGGTGCTCCGCCAGCGTATCCTGTTAGCGCAGGCGGGGTTGCCATACCATTTTCACCCATAAAAAAAATATGGTTCATGAATACGATCAACCGAAAATAGAATGTTCTACTCTCAACGGCTAACCGTACTAAGCTTACCCACTAAGTGATTTTAAGGTTATAAGACAAGGAAAACGAGTCACGGTAAAGGCCACATAGTTTTAATAAATGATAATGAAATGGCAACCCCATCCGCGCTAACGGTATATTCTGGTGGTAAATGAAAGATAAGTGAGGATAAAAAATCAGGTCAGTTAGCCCATCGTGATAAATACGCCTGGAATTCATCACGATGGTTTCCAGGGGGACCACGTCGAGGTCGACCTGATAGTAGAGGGTATATTGCTAGCAATATACATTTCATCATTAGTCCCTCTCTCCCCCCTTCCCCCTTCGTGTTGCGTTTATGTGTTAGTGTTAAGGTACAGTTTGTAAGAGTTTGCAAACTTATTTGTATTCGAACGTACGGGTATAATTTGCAAAGATGCAGTCGCTGACCATCCACATGGTCATAGTGCGATATCAGAAATGGGAAGGAGAATATATGTAAGGAATAAGAGAATGTAGATCTTTTGGAAAAAACTGTAGAAGCTACATTGAGGGAGGCTACATCTCTACGTATTTGTTTAATGTTCGGGTCGTCAAAAAAAAGATCGCCAAAGAATATTTATAAGTTTTAATGAAGAGTATGAAATTCACTATGATAATATCTACTGAACAGCTCGACAATTGTAGAACAACTGAACTTCTTAAGGATGGGAGGTCCTTATATATGACTACAAACATTATGTTAGCATGGTGACCATTAAATAAATATCCAAAGTTTACACGTTATTTAATCAATAGCAAACGTCCAATGTTCTGATGAGAACAAAGCTGTAATCACTCTATTTAATTATGCTACATTCTAATGACTTATTTATCATCCAACAATATTCTTTGTTTACTATTAACTGCAATACGTAATTTCCCATCGTTGTAGTATTTATCTGTACATTACAATCCTCCCCCATTAAGAAATACGTTGTCTTTTAAATTGTGTGTACACTTTTTATTTAAACATCATTCGATACAAAATCATTAAACGAATTTTAACAAACAATTATTCTTATTTCTATGTTAGTTAATCATTATATAGTATAAACATTAAACCTACAAATTAACATGATTCCATTATAATAATCAATAATAAATATATTTTGGTAAATATAATCTATATTTTATTTTAACAATTTAAAATTTACTTTTAATTGAACAATTCTTCTGCTCCTTCTTAGTGGTGTTAAAACCGAATCTTCTGTAGAGGATATGTCTTCTAATTCAACATCTCTTTCAGTATCGGTATTATTAGTATAAAGGGTTAATCCCTTAAAGTGATACAATTAGTAATTCTCTCTTCTTCTTCTTTTTTCTCCTAAGTAAATCGTTAAGTATGTATAGCCTATAGTTTCTGTAGGATTCGCATCATTATCTATACCGCTTAATTGTAATTTTTAATCTTCATAAATCATTGTGCTTTCTTTTAAAGCCTTATTTTTTATTAAGGTGACTTCAGCATCAGTATCTATTAAAAAATTTCTTTCTTCTTTAATTCTTTTACTTTTAAGTTAACATACGTTGAACTACCAGTATTAATCGACATTACTCGGTCTGATTTTAATTGGTTGTCCTGGGATCGACCGACGTCCTTTGGAGTTTAAATTATCGGGCGCGTTGTTTATATAATTTGTACCACGAAATTTACTATTACTAGAATTTGGTTTGTTGAACCAACAATCTCGTGACACATCATCATCCAGCAATATTCTTTGTTTACTATTAACTGCAATACGTAATTTTCCATCGTTATAGTATTTATTTGTACATTACAATTATAGAGTTTTGCTCAGCTCGGCATCTTCCACGTTACGAACAACTCAGAACATCGAGATCCGGTAAGAGTAATTTCACACACGACTTTACCTGTGCTTTATATAATAGAGGCACTGCTCCGGTGAAGAGTATCGTTGCATTCTGTTCAGAACTCCCAAGTTTTTCATTTATTTATTTATTAAATAATAAATAAAAAACTTGGGATTTTATTGATAAGTTTGTCGAGTTTAATTGTTTTGTGTCTCCAGCCTCCACAATTATTATTTTTAATAATGCAACATTAGACATAGACAAAAAAGAGAGTAGTTACGGTTGAATAGGCCAGAGGGCGCTGGATGATTGTCTTTGGTGTGTGTGAAAAATGTAAGCTATATGGCTGAGGAAATTGTTGTAAAATATAAAGATAATAAAATTATAAGTAGATTTATATACGTGGTTTTTATTGCTTGGCGCAAGTGCTCATGCTTCATTATATCAAATATTAATAAAAATATCAAAAGCACGCTTCCACTGTGCAGCGCCAAACAAGATAGGTATCGACGCCACGCGTTCCATGAAGTAAGTTATGTACATGCAGAATTAATTATAAAGAAAAATGGCTTCAAGTAAGGAGTATAATTATAATATCAAACAGTTCGAAGGAGATAATTATAATACATGGTTTTATCGATTGAAAGCCGTATGGCGTCGACGCAATCATGTTCATCTAGAACATGATTGCGTCGACGCCATATTAGAGCCGACATTTTCCAGTGTGTAATAAGAAAAAAGAAACACGAGCGAAAAGCATTATTATAAGTACGGT